GTTTCCAAGGGTGAAAAACTTAAATTATTGTGTATAGATTTTTAATTTTTAAGTACCTATATTCAATGATATACATTTCCTCTAAATGCTGCTTTTGCTACATCTCACAAATTTCAATAAAGTGTATTTTTATTTTTATTTAGTCCAAAACATTTAATTTCTCTCAAGATTTCTTCATTTACCCATGTGTTGCTTGCAATGTGTTATTAGATCTCTAAGTATTTGGGGGATTTTCCAGACATGATTCTTTCATTGGTTTCCAGTTTAATTCTCTTGTGGTCCCAGATTTCTGTTCTTTGTTAAGGTGTAGTTTATCTTAGATTTTATAATAATATATCATAATTGCATAGGTGGTAGAGGGCCTACTTTCTTTAGGCCTAAGGGTATGTTGCTTGTTTGCAATGAGGCTGTGCCACTGGACTGCATACTTCAGACCTTCACAAGTTTTCATGTACCCATCAGGCTGGGGAAGTGGCTCTGTTGGTACTTGAGGTGTTTCTTTCCCTTTGTGTGAGGTGTTAAAGGGTTAGGAGTAGGGCATTTCCCTTCCCCTGTGTAGGCCTCTTGGCTCCTCCCCCTTCTTTTCTCTTCCCCCTTTCCTTGTCCCTTCCTTCCTCATTTCTGATTTTTTGAACATTTTTATTTATGTGTATGAATGTTTTGCCTTCATGTGTGTATCTATAATGCTGTGCACTTGGTTCCCACAAAAGCCAGAAGAAAGTGTCAATTCCTCTGGAAATGAGTTACAGATGGTTGTGATCCACAATGTTGGTGCCAGGACCCAAACCTAGATCCTCTGCATGAATAGCCAGTGCCTTAAACCACTGAGCCATCTCCTTAGAACCCTCCTTAGGACCCTTTCTTGTGTGTTGTGGGACAGGGTTTGTTTTGTATCCCAGGCTGACCTTCAACTTGAGCTGCTTTTTCCTCTTCTTAAGGGTTGGGATGGCAGGTGTGTACTAGCATGCCTAGTACCGAACAATTGGCTCTTCTCGTGTATTTCAGAGCAGGCCTTCCCCTCACAGCCAGAAGCACAAAGGATTCTTTTCTCTGATATTAACTATGAAGATTTGGGAGAGTTTATGGGGATAAAGCTAAAAGAAATTTCTGGCTCTCAAAGTGTCTTAACTTGTCTGTAGTAGGCTACCAGCAATCTGTCAATGGCATTTCAGTTTTCTGCATCTGACATGGGCTCCTCAGAAATGTTCCTTCTTGAACTTCTGCCCGAATGCCTTACAATTCTCTACATCTGCCCATCTACCCACATCTCCAGAAGTCTAGGCAGGGGTGTACCCATGACCCAGCTTTTCTGGCAGATGTTCGAAGGTCTATTTTTCACCAGTTCAGCTTTTTTCTTGTTACCACTTAACAGCCTGGGCCAGAAGTAAGGAAACTCATTTTAAACAATTTTATTAGCATTATTTTTTGTTAAAATTATAATTCTAGAAACCTTCTATCTGGGCAAAATATAATCACCTAAGTCACAGTAATTGCTTGAATTAAAATGAGAGATAATAAAAAATTGACTTCTGAAAAGGGACAAAAAGCTTTAAGTTTCTTTCTGTTTCTCCATCTTCACTAGTCAGTCATTTCAACAATGAAATTCAACCTTGAAGGTAACTCAGCATGATTTCCATAATGACAGGGTATAGTGTAAACTCCAGCATACCAGAAAAGAAAATGATACATAAAAACTGTCTTAGAAGCTGGGCCCAGTGGCAGAGCCTGTGATAATGACTACTTGGGAGACTGAAGTAGGAGGATCAGACATTCAAGGTCAGTCTGGGATACAAAGGGAGTTCAAGGAAGTCCTGAGCTACTTAATGAGGCACTGTCTCAAAATAAAATAAATAGATGGGGCTAGGGGTGTGGCTCATTGTAGAGCACCTGCCTAGAATCCCCCAGTGAGGGGTAGGGAATGTGTTTTTGTGGTTGAGTACCCTCTTAGAATCACTCAGTTGGGGGCTAGGGCATGGTTCACTGGTAGAGCAATGACTCTGAGTTCTATCCCCAGAAATAGAAAAATAGTGAAGAGTTGGGTAAACAAAATCTTGGAGTGAAGATGACATGATGGTGTTGTTTAGCAAAGGGCCAGGTGGGAGGGCTTTGGTCTGCTTGGATAAATCATTGTCTTTAATAGGAACTGTAATTTGGGTTTCTAGTAGCATTGGATTCTGGATGTCAGTAATCAGTTCAGCTAGTTTCACATGTTTATGATTTTGGTTTATAAGTTCTTTTTCTGTGGAGTCTGCTTTACCATGAAGCACAGATTGAGGGCCCATTTAGCTTTTTGTTCACTACTCTAGAATAATCATGCCTAGAGGATCCTTGTAGATAGCATTTTTCATGATAATTCAAGGTAAACATGTCTCTTCAGTTGGTTTGACATGTTGAGGAGAAAGCTACTGAGGTACTTTGTTATAGAATATATAACAAATTATATAACACTGAGTATAGAGCTCTTTTTCAATGACAGTGACAACATTTCTGTTCATGGGTTCATCAACCAGGTAAATTCACCAGCATCATGACCAATGTCTGATTTCAAAAGATGTCACTGTCAACCCACAATGCTGCTCCAGTGGAGTCCACTCTATGTCCATCCTCAGTCCTTTGGAGTCCCAAGGCCCATGTCACAGAGGCTTGCATTGCCTTGCTGAGCTGCCAAGCACTGCACAGAGCTCCTGGATATAAACCACAAATATGTGCCATTTAGTTTTCACAGCACAACCAGCAATATCTTCATTTGGTTTAGTTCCTTCCCAGTTTTGCAGGAAGGCTTGTTAGTGAGGGATTTTCTACCTTTTGAACATTAGAAAGGACCTATTTTTTTTTAAAGGTTAGCAAACATCTTCAAGTTTACTCAAGATCATTTCCATTAATTTGTATATCTGCTGGTTCAACAGTTGGACATTGGAGGGGGAAAAAACCCACAATATAGTAAGAAAGTAAACGAACTCAAGAGGTTCAAATTGTGCTAAGTACCACAATCAATGGCAGTAAGTCAGGGATGGTGGGAAATGACTGGAAACACTGTGGGAAAGTATCTATTTAATGCAGGTTTTGCTTGCTTATTTTTAAATTATGTTTATGTGGGTGTTTCTCTGTGTGGGTATGTACATGTCACTTCAGTGCCCTTGGAGGTCAAAAGAGGGTGTCAGATCCTCTTGGACTGTGAACCCCATTAGGGAATGTGAGTGATGGGAACTTATCCCAGATCCTCTGTAAGAGCAATGAGTGCCACTGAACCATTTCTACAGCCTTACTTAATATTTATTCTTGAGGAACATTTTATTGTTGGGTGTAAAATGCTCAGTTGGAAAGTTGGCATTTTTTCCTTAGAATTAAAAAAGTCTTTGACTTTCAATAACAATGAAAAACCAGTATCATTCTGAAGTGTGGCACCCATGAGCAAGCACTATGAGTATTTTCTGTGAATACCTAATGCATGTCAGGAGTTTGGAAATGATGAGCTGAAGCATGACTGTATTAATGTGTCACCTTTCATGGCCTTTGTTGAAATTCTTAGATCTGTGGGTTGAGGTGGACCAATGAATAGGCACAATTTTGTCTATGACTGGTTTGAAGAAAGTTTCTTCCTTCATCCTATCTCTTCTTTCCTTGTGTAACTTCACTTCTGTGTGTGTGTGTGTGTGTGTGTGTGTGTGTGTGTGTGTGTGTGTGTGTACTGAGTGTCTACTATGTGTGTACTATGTGTGTATGTGTGCTGGTAGCATATGCCCTTGTTACTTTCTGTAGTTTTCTTCAGTTATTCTTTTTTTTTCTGTGACTCTAGATGATTTTATTGATTCCACAACCATGTTTTCTACAGTGTCTCTGATGAAAAATATATACATGCACCTTCTTATAGCCTAATATCACAGAGATTTTTTTATCTTTTATAATATATTGCTAAATTCACTCTCTGAAATTGTGTTAATGATGTTTGCTTCTATGCTCATTAGACATTTGTAGCTTCCTTCATTTGAAATGTTGTTTTCTAATTCTGTTATCAGGGAAATGCTAGTCTTAGAAAGTGAGTTGGAATATGCCTTCCTCTGTTCTGTTTTCTGAAGAGATCTTGAGAAACTGATATGATCAGCTTCTTACATAGTAGGTAGAATTCACCAGCATAGAAGTGAAGTTATCAGGTTCTTTGTACAAAGCTTTTAAACTATTGAGTTAATTTCCATCTACCTCTTTATTCTTAAAAATTGGCTTTGTTGCACTGGCACTTTGATTATTTTTTCCATTTAATGTGCAATAATGAATTGATATGATGAAAAACAAACACAAAACAAAACCGAAACCCAAAACCCAAAAAAACCAAACCAAACCATCTCTTACTTTCATGAGGCAGAGATTCCTGACCTTTCTAAATGAGCAAGGGTCACCCTGTGACTCCAGGGTACAAAGTCTTTAGAAAACATGAATGCACTGTGCTTTGACCCCATAATAAACACCTTTTCTGTCATTGGAACAGATGTTAAGCTAAGCTTGTCATCACTGGAACAATCCAAGAAAGTCCTGAGGGCAATGTCTGGGGTGGTACATTCTGAAAAGGAAGGCTTCATCTTGGGGAGGATAGACTGGGGCAGGGAGCCCTTGTGGATGCATCCATCATGGAACTAAATAACAGTGCTTAAGGGAAACACAAATGATAATGACAAGGAGGGTATGCTTATGTGTTTCAGTCATGAGCTGCATGTTGTGCATGTATTACCCTTAGCATGGTGGGTTTAGGTAGATACTGTCTAACTTTACAGAGGAGGAGACTGGGACATTGAAAGTAAAATGTGAAATCTTCCCACCCCAGGGTACCTCACTCCCCACCCCAGTGTATACTCACTCCCACACTGAGCATATCTCATTCCCTAGCCCAGCCTATTTCACTCCCCACTCCTAGGAGACAGGAGAGAAAGGTCAGGGCATTTTTCATCTGTGTCCCCCACATTTCTACTCAACAGAGCAGTGGCCCATCTATGTTTCCCACCCCTCAGACACTCTTTCCTTCTTTATCCCCAAGTTTTGGATGGCTAACATCTATTCATGTGGAGTACCTCCTCGAGAGCTGACCACCCCTGTTGTCTCCTTAGTTGCCTGTATATCCCATCTCTGTAAACGTACAAAGGACTGGAGTGTATTCAGTTAAACCATTTGTGTGGTGACTTGTTTCTTGCCAGATTGCTAAGTGATAGAAAGAGCACAGTATTTTGGATTAATTAGCAGAATGCAATTAGGACAAACAGTTGGACTCTAGAGGTAAATTTGGGTGACAAGTACATCCCAGAGGGACCAGGGAGATGAGCCAATGGTGAGAGGAGGTGTTGGCAACTGTGGTGTGTACCATGGCTGGCCTTGGTACTTGCCTTGGTACAGGTATGGAGCTTCGGGAGCTAATGGTAAATCACTTCCTAATCTCAAGCTCTTCTTTCTCATAGGCTTTCAATACAATACTTCCAGGGCAGTTTTCCCCTATCCCAAGAGATTTAAGGAATGCTCATGAGGAAATGATTTTGAAAAGGAGCCTGACATTCATGGTTACTAGGGGTGGAAACAGTAGGGCATTAGGTTAACTATTATTCTCTCCATTTTAATACTGATTTTAAAATGGGATGAGAAAAGTTAAGAGAGGACTTACCACTTCTCTGCCATGCTGGGTTTGGGGACAGGAAGGAATTGGCCTAATGTAGCCTTGCATGGTCCCACTTTAGGCTTGCTCATCTCCTGCTGGCCAAAGAGGGGAGATTTTTAGCTTTTAAGAAGGGGAGGGATTAAATTTGCAATAGCAATGAGTTTACCTTGGCATTTTCATGATTTTCTGAAATGTTAAGAAACTTTTGCCAATGTTTGCATTTTATAGTCTGCCTTGGTGAAATTATCAAACTTCCCAACTGTGACTTCGATGGTTTTTAGAGTAGTAGGCTTTCACAAATAGCTTTTAGAAATTAATAGCAAAGTGTGAGAAGGAAGAAATAATCAAACAAGTACTAGTGAGGGAAATTAAAGGGGAAAATGGAAAAGTATGCATGAATGATGGATAGGTAGGTGGATGGATAGATGGGTGGGTATGAATATGGATGGGTGGGTGGGTGTGTGGATGGATGGGTTGGTTGGTTGATGGATGGGTAAATGCATGGGTGGATAGATGGATGGAAGGGCATGTGGGTAGGTGAGTGGTTAGAAGGATGGATAGAGAGGTGGGTGCGTGATATGTGTGTAGGTGGGTGGTTGGGTGGATATATGGATAGGTAGATAGGTGGATGGATGAATAGGTGCGTGGGTGGGTGCATAAGTTGATGGTTAAATAAATAAATGGGTGGGTGGGTGGATGGGTATATGGATAGATGGGTGAGTGGATGGATAAATTGGTGGGTGAACAGATGAATAGGTGGATAGATGGGTTATGAGAACCAAGATGCCTAAATCTACCCTGAATAATCAGGAAGACATCTCTGAGACCTTCTAGGTATTTGGTGCCAGAGTTCAGAAAAGGCCTGAACAAGGCTTGGTGTAGAGAGTGAACTATAGTTTTGGAGTTAGCCTAATAGGCCTTGGGTGGTTATAGAGCTCAGAAAGGGACAGCCTTAAGGATGGAAGACATTGATGTGTGAAAGTACTACATGGGGTTCTTGTGGATCCTGAGAGTAGTGAGAAGCTTCCAAAGATACCACAGCCATTCTGCACTCCACCAAGAATAAGCAGCGAGTGGTGCTTCTATTCCCTGCAGAATCTGTGTATTACACTTTTTTTTTTTTTTTTTTTTGGTTTTGCTTAGGTTTTGAGCTGACAGAGCATATTACCATGATTGCTTACCAGGGCATATGGGTGCTTGTTCTGACCTAGGAAAGGTTATAGAAATGAGGCAAAAGAGTAATGCTGCTTCTCAGCCCATAGGTGAACTGCTTCCAGATTTTATTTTTGCCTATAGTCTTTGGAGGCCTTTGCTCTAAAGCAGGAAGGGGAGATTTTAGGAGGCGGAGTTTTGATGCATATGCGAGTTACTTTTTGTCAGCTTGACACAAACTGGAGTCACCCAGGAAGAAGTAACCTCAGTTGAGAAATTGCCTCCATCAGATTAGCTTATTGGCATGTCTATGGGGCATTTTCTTGATTAATGATTGATGTGGATGGTGCCACACCTGGGCAGGTGGTCCTGGATTGTATAAGTGAAACAAGCTGCAGAGAATAAGACAGTAAGCAGTTCTTATGAGCATCATTTCTCTATGTCCCCCAGGTTGCCTGTCCATATGAATATGGGGAGCCCACAACTCCAGCCCCAGATCTATCAGCCACTTTGTTTGATTTTTGTTGAGACAGAGTGTTGCCATATAGGTCAAGCTATCTTGGACTTACCATGGTCAAGACTGGCCTCTCACTTGCTGTCCTCCTGCCTCAGCCTTTTGAGTGCTGGGAATCACAGGCCTGAGCCACTATGCCTGTCGTATCCCTGAATGCCAGATGCTTCTTTAGGCAAGTATGATTAAAAACACATGAACAGCACATATATAAATGGCATAGTTTTTGTAGAAATATTGAGTACACAGAAATGCACATGTCTGTGGCATCTAGTATCACAACCAGCTATTCACCAGAGCAAAATTTAAAATACCTGAAATCACAGAATGCTGATTAAAAGATGCTGAAATTGGATTTATAATCCAGTTCTGTCTGGCCCCAGGTCCATGTGCTTTCCAGTTTACTGGGAGCCACTGCACAGAGACACACAAAGACAAGGCTGGGACTGGCTACTAATTTGTGGAGTCTGCCCAAAATACAAATATGAAGCCCATACAGAAAATTGACAGTAACCAGTACTTTAATCCAAGTGTAGAGGTTCCACATATGAGCTTCTGAGACTTCATAGGTCTCAGACTCAAAGGGCTGGCGATGGGTGAAATAAACTGAGCATGACAGTCACACTTAAAACAAGCAAAGAACAAACTGAAGGGCACACATTCTGACTGGGTTTTGTAATGACTTCCAGTGAATTGCCCTGGGCCACAGCGGGACCAAAGCCCCATAGCCCCATGTGAACTTAGTTCCCTTGCTGTGGCCACTGGAGAAAGCTTCTCAACCACTGAAATGCTGAATTCAGAGGATCAGAGAAGTCTGGGTGACCTGGGTGACCATTGTCATTGCATGGGGGACAATTGTTCCAGAGAGCCACCTGGATCCAGAGAACTTTACAGGGTTATGAGAAGCCACAGCATTTTAGAGTTATCTGCCTTTCTAGATTATCAGAATCTGTCTTAAATAGTTATGACCCACCTTCTCTGCTAACCTGCATTGATGGGAAGTGCTCAGAGACAAGGATCAGAAGCTTGTCTCAGTTGGTGGTACCTTTACCAGGTTGGTAAGACTGAAGTTAAGCATGATAGGGCAGCTGAGGGTTAGAGAGGAAGTTACCTTCAGCTATCCATTACATTAAAGATGCCAGCTATATCTCAAAGCATGAGTGGAGGGGCCTTAAATTTAGTGAGCAGACATCTCCCTTTCACTTCCATCCTCACAAAGTCCTTTCCATGCCAGCCACCCATCACTACTGTTTAATCTGATAAAGCTTTTTTTTTTTTTAAGGGGTAGCAATGCCACTTTATTAGGCTAGGCCACCCAGGAAACAGCACTGGAGTAAATGGCCCCACAGCACATTAAGGGCACAAGATTTCCAGGTATACACTACCTTCCACCCCTGCCTCAGTGCTCTCCACTCAAGACTGGGCCATGGAGGGGGCAGCATAGGTCTGGAAGTGGGTATGGGCTCGTTGGTGTGTGAGCAGTCTCAGAGACATGGTGTCCACAGCTGCCTCCAGTCCTGGCTGCTGGGTGATCTCCACTGTATAGTCATTAGCCAGTTGCAAGGAGGCCAGCATGGAGCGGCCCACCTCAAAAGCAGGCTGCCCAGCTACAAGCTCTGCAAAGGGACACCACTCATTGAGCTGGGGGAAACCGTGAGACCAACTGGTCCCCATAGGTGTGGATAACAAAGGGCACATGCTGCTCCTGCTCCTGGAGCAGGGGCTGGATAGTATCTTCCCAGTCCCTGATGTGCTGGCTCAGCTCTGTCTCCTGGACAAACTTCTGGGAGGTTGCAATGAAGAGTTCCACATTTCTTTGGACCAGCTCCTCATATCTCAGGGACTCTAGCATAGTGTCTCCATCTAGGTCAGCAGCTTCACCAGGCATCACCCCTTCAGGCTCTGCATACTCTTCAGGTTCTAGAAAGTCATCTGCTACCCCTAGGTCTTCTAGGGAATCTTCCAAGCATTCCTCCTCTATAGGCCACAGATCCTCTTTGGCACTGGGCAGCCATCTCTCAGTCACCTTACGTCTCTGCTGCTCCTGAAGGGTCTCGAGCTGTTCTTTTACATGTTTCCAGTACAGACACTTCCATGTCTGCAAAGGTTGGGCCCTTTCGCCGAGGCTTCCTGCTGTCAGCATGGTCGGCATAGGCAGCCAGGTACCACTAGTGGAAGTCCTGCAGCTTGGTAGCACACTTCCTCTTGCGCTTCTGTCCTGGAACCTCTTCCACACAGGGGAGTACAGAATAGGGCTTACCTTTCTGGAAGAGCTTGGAGTCCAAGGAATCAAAAGGGTCCAGGCTCTGCCAGGGGTCGGGAGTGTCCTGTAGCCGGGAGACAGGCTCCTGGGCCCCTCGTGGCTCCCGTAGCATGTATCTCCTTGGCAAGGTGGCACTTTGCTGTGAGGTCCTGGGCTCTGTAGGCTCTGGAGCAACCTCTGGGAGTCCTGCTACATCCTCTGCATCCTCATCTCCACCACTGAGCATAGGGCCATCTGGCTCTTGGGAGACGCAGAGTACAGGAACAGGACTCCCATTCCTAGAGACTTCCATTGGCTGCTCCTCAACATCCTCAGCATCTTTCCGGCTCCTTGGCATGGGGCACACATCTGGAGGCTCCACAGGACACATTCCCACTGGATCCAACATAAAGGAACCTCTGGGGCAGGGGGTACATGTGTTCATCCTGAAATCCTTCTGGCTGGCCAAGACCTCACCCTGACAGCTATACAAGGGGCTGTTGTTCTTTTCCACTTCATCAGGGGCCATGGGCAGAAGGGGTATAATAAGCAGCTCACTGGATGCCTGGTCATTTTTCAGATCCACATTGGCCCGGGCGTCAGGGAAGTCATCCAGGGACAGGAGCTCATCCTCTGTTTCATAGGAACTCCTGAGTTGACGGCTCTGTTGCTCCCATCTTCCTGTACTAAAGAGAGCTGCTTGGCTCGCCTCTTGCCAGAAACAAAATCAAGAGCCTGGTAGACCAGCGAGTAGAGGTACTCCACCTTTTTACTGTAGACACAAGCTGAGCCCTGGATCAATAGTGCTGCCTCAATGCAGTTCATAGTGGTTTTGCCTTCATCAAAAGAAATGCAGATCTGGTCCAGTCAGCTGTGCCGCTACGTCCACCTCCCAGTTCTTAGTGAGATCCCGGATGGGCTGCAAGAGGTGAGCGAAGTGCACCTCCACATCCTCCATGTCCAGAAAGGGACTAGAGGCCCGGGACCGTACACTTTCTCCGGATAGGGCCAGCAGGCTCAACCCGCCACTGGCTCTGGCGCCATTTTGGTGTTCCCGCCCCTCTGATAAAGCTTTTTTTAAACTGGCCTAGGCTACAGAGAGAAGGCTCTGGCAGAGAGAAGAAGAAGTTCTAGGTCTCAGGTGGGCCTGATCCAGAGCCTTAAATCACATCATAAATCTCCTAGCATAAATCACCGCAGCCCTGTCTCTCCCTGTTTCCTGTCTTGTTAATGTCATTCTTAGGCACATGATTTCAGAGCCAGCATGTCTTCCCCATGCTTTCAGGAAAAGGTACAGCCAGGAAGTGCAGCCTACCTGACACCAGCACCTAGCTAGAGTTTAAGAATGCAGGGCAAAGTGACACCAACGGCCCTCTGCCTGGAGCCTCCTGACACTTCAAAGCCCCAGGGGAATTTCTTTTGCTACTGAATATTCTCCACAAAGTCATACACATTTCTTTACCCTCCTCAATGTTCTGCACATTCTTCCCATATGACACTGGAACATAAAGAGAAATAACTGATTCCCCAATTAGTCCTTGTATGAATAAGGGAGGTGTTGAGTGCTGTATAGAGCAGTCATGGGACATCCATTCTGTTCTTAGGAACAAGTTGCAAGGCAGATGGGGTTAGGGTATTGCAGTTGGCTTCATGGAAATGCTGCCATCAAAGATGGCATCAATTTTTAAAAAACTTTTTAGAGCTGAATAATACTCTACATTTTCTTTGTCCATTCATATGTTGCTAGACATCCAGGCCTATTCCTTATCTTGACAATTGTGTACAATGCTACACAGAACAAGGTTGTGCAGGAACACTTGTTGAACGTTCACTTAGAATCCTCAGGGACGGCATAGCTTGGTCATGTGGTAAGTTCTAGATTCAGGTCTTTGAGGATTCTCCACACTTACTCCCCATAGTGGCTGTACTAATTTATTTTTTTACCAGAAGTTAGTAAGTGCCCCCTAAACTACTAACATTTGATGTTCGTTGTTTTCTTCATATCCATTCTGATTTGGGCAAGGTGGCATCTCAAGGCACTCTTGATTTGCATTTCTAGGGGGTACTCTCGAAGGAACCATTTACAGAGTTCTAAACCACACTCTTTGATGACACTGTATTTAACACATACCACAAATGACCTGTCATTATAAACAGGACAATAGAGACCAAAGAAAGAAAAGGTACTTCATCAAGGTCATACTGTCATTAAGACTCTAGGTCCAAGGGTGTACTCAAGACTCTAAATTCTATGCTATATCACACAGCTCTATCATGAATAGAAGGTGGTCTTTATGGGGGTCTTGCCATGGTATCAGTTGGTCAGAGCAGAGCCATCCTGGGTGTCCTAAACAGTTCCTACCTGACTAGAGTCTCAGCTCGGGCTCAGACGGTGTGGTTAGATGTAGTTAGCATTCCACTGCAATACTGGACTGCGTTTTCTTCTGTGATTGCCTCAGTGGCTTGCAGAAGCAATTTGTTGCTAGACTGTCCTCACTATCATGGGGTTAGAGATTGCAGGTTAATCAACTCAGAGGAGGGAAATATTATCTTTTCAAGGGTTTCCAGGGGCCAAGGGTCATTAGCTCACCTTGAATCATATGCCCATCTCAAATAAAATCTCTTCATTCTGATTGGCAGTTCCTATGTCAAGTGGCAAAGATGGAGTATTGGGGGAATATTATGTGTATTGGTGTGTGTGTGTGTGTGTGTGTGTGTGTAATAAAGTCTTCAAGTGAAGAGGGCAGTTTGATTCCACTGAGGAAGATTTGGGGCATGAAAATAGACCTGGTAGGAAGTCTATCATGAGAGACTTCCAACGGAAGCCTGAGGCCATCCATTTCCATATAGTCCCTTATTTTAGGGTGCTCTAGCTAAGAGTGCAGGGATTTGTTATGCCATCAAGTTTTCAAGGAAGTGTCCCCAGGGACCTGGAAAGGGAGAGAAATGGGGATGAGAAGGCACACAGGCATGGCTACAGTGGAGGCTGGTGGTGCCCTGTGGCTGCCTTTGCCCAGCTGGCTTCTAACCCCTCAGTTGTACCTGGTGGCTGCTAGAGATTCAGCTCTCTAGATTGTTGCCCTGGGCTGACAGTTTTCACCTTCTGGGGATTGCCTCATAGCCAAGAAAGGACTGACTGAAGGGGATATGAAAGGCAATCAGAGGGTGTGCTTGGCCTCCACAGAGGGCCCTGTATGATCAGCCTGAAGCCAGACTTCAGACTGACAGAAGCTACAACTTTGCCTGGCTTCTCAACTTTCCTCTGTAAAAGGATTACATAGGAAATACCTTTTTGGCCTCTGCCTTTCATGGACCTGGCTTTGGGCTGCAATTTCAGGGTAGGAGTTTTAGATGTCTCTTGATGCTGTGCCATGCAGTGGTGTCATACAGTTTGTCCCATCTCTGGGACAAGGAGCTTTGTATATTTGTGGTAGCCATTGGTTATAGACTACCCAGCAGAAAAGGGAGGCTGGGGGTCACAACAAGCACTCCTGGCTGTCTGTACAACTCTGGAAGCCCAAGGAACATTGTTGACAACCATTTCAGAGGAGTTCAAGATATAGGAGACAGCCCACTGAACTGCTACAGATATGTAGGGGTCACTAACACTGTCTGCAACAGAAGAGAAACCAAACCACAGAGAACTCTATGGATCAAGATTTCTAAATAGCTCCCTGCTTAATTGTTAGCAGCCATGGAAGTGCTGTAATTAGCTGACAACAGGTTGCTGTTTATCAATTTGTTACTACTTATGTAACCAGAAGTGCAGAATTCAGTACTTATAAAAATCCTTGTAATGAAATATTTCTCCTTTATGGAGGCTGTGTTTGTATAGATGAACATTAATTTAAACTTTTTGACCTCATTTGCATTCTAAAATTATGGCACTGTAATTTCCGTCTCCCCAATGCGTTCACTCTTAATTAATCTTAACCACTCTCAAGCTTTTCTGGTTTCTATTATCACCATTTAAAGTTGCGAAGACTGTTTAATGGATTTAAATCACATATTCAAATTAGTTTCTTTTTCCAAAGTTATAATGACTTAAAATTTTTATTTGATTTGGGCCCCAAAGTATTACCTGAAAAGCCATTTGATTGTTTTACAGTTTAAATCATCTGTGTGGAATAAAATTCATTAACCTTATTTACATGTGTGTGAAAATTATGACTTGCTAACCAATTAACATTTTCAAGTTGTGCAGGTTTGCAGCCTGTCGCTCTGGCTCGAGCTGTACTGTCATTCTGACTTCCAATGACACAGTTGTAGAAATCTGTCTTATGTCTTTGTTTGTAGTTTAGGCTGTAGACATGTCATCTGTTTAGACTGTGGTGGTGTATGTTGAAACTTTCCCCTTTAGGGTTCTGGGGAGCATTGGCTCTCTGTGGCTCAGCACTAGTGTAGTGGAGGGGCCCTTGCTGGGATGCAGAGGATGTAGTTTGGGAAATTATAGGGAATAGAGGAAGCCTGCTGCTAGTGGAGTCTTGAGTGAATGTGAATTGCAGACATGGGCCCACAGTACAGTTGGCAAAGCCTATTCCCTCCCCAAGTGCTGTATCCAATAGTAAATATATTGAGGTTCCAGGTTCCAGAGGGTGTATCTGTCCTTTCCTCCTCACCTTACTATCCCAAGCAGGATGGAAAGGTTGCATCGTGGGAGTGAATCCTCCCATTTAGAGCCCCACTCTGCAGAATCAGAATGTGCTGTTCTCTTTGTGGATGCACCACCTGAAAGCCTTTCTTCAGCATGCCTTTGGGAGTAAAGATGGTAGTCACAGGGTAGTATAGAAATGGCAGCTGCAATGCCTAGCAGTAGCTGTGGGTTCAGCTCAGAGCTTGCCATTTCCCTGTGAGATACTCCAGTTTTCTGTCACCTGGACCTTTGACATAGCCTCCTCTCAGGTCCCCAGAACCCATGCTGCCCTGTCTCTGTAAAGTCAAGGTGATGTGGGAGCATGGATCTCATTTATCCTACTTTGTTTCTTAATTGTTCTGATAAAACAGTGACCAAAAGCAACTTGGGGAGAAACTATAGTTTATAGTTCCTCACAAAAAGAAGGCAGTCAAGGAACTCAAGGCAAGAACTGAGGCAGTGACTCTGTTGGAATACTTCTTACTTACTGCCTTGTTCTCTGTGGCTCCCTCAGCCTGCTTCCTTTTACAACCCAGAACCACCAGAACAGGGGAGCACTATCCAGAGTGTGCTGGGCCCTCCCACATCAAACAGCAATCAAGAAAACACTTCAGAGACTTGCCAATAGGCCAATCTAATGGGAGCATTTTCTTAACGGAGGGTCCCTCTTCCCAGATGATTTTAGCTTGTGTCAAGTTGACAGAAAAAAAAAAATCTAACCAGCATACCACTGTTGGGAAATCTACCTTGTCCCTGACTTCCCATTGCACAGTTGCAGCCCAAATTGGCTGGACCAATATGGCTGGCCTTCCCTACCCTTGCTCTCCAGCCTCAGGGCCTTCACAGATCTCTGCACTTACCCTATTAAACTGAAGTACTGATTGATCCTGGACATGGATGACCCTCCCCTCTCTTCTTTATCAAGCTACCTCACAAACCATTCTGGTCTCTCAAGGATTATTGTCCTTCCTTATGGTGATATTTTATTTGTGCTGAAATGTGATTTTATTTGTATGTTAATAAATAAAGTTTGCCTGGAGATCAGAGGTCATAGCAAGCCATAAGTGTCAGGCCGTGGTGGCACATGTGTTTAATCCAATCACATGGCAGGCAGAGTCTCTGTGTGATCAAGGACACAGCCAAGCGTGGTGACACAAACCTTTAACCCCAGTACCAACCACAGAGATCTGGAGGTCTGTATAAATAGCCAGTGATGAGGAAGTCATAGTTGGGTTTAAAGCCAATGAGAAGGCAGAACAAAAAGACAATAAAAAGACAAGTCAGACAGGAAGAAGCTCTCTCGGGGGAAGCTACTTCTGGTGGTAAGCTAAAGTTAGTCGTGGCTATTGCTCTGATCTCTTTGGCTATTTCCTTTGTATTTGGCTCTGTGTTTCTTATTTACTAAGACTATGTAGAA